TGATAAAATACAAACCAGGCTTTGAGACTGCCTTCTTTAAGTACAAAACATAAAATTAGTCTCAGCTTTGCATCTGATCCCTGCTTAATGTGAAAACAGTTTTTAACTATTTAACTAGCGCATCCAATCCAGGAGAACCGGGACAACGATACCTAGCACACGTGAAGTGCAGATGTGATTACATCGGTTTTAAAGATATGTACAAAAATGCTAAATAATCATATGTTCTAACTAAAGCAAAAACCACCTGAACTACACTCTATCCTTTACTAAACCGAATCTGAGAAATGGCATACATTCTTCATGTTAAATCGTCCAGAAAAGTATGTCAGTAGTGCAGCTGCAGACATTACCCTGAAACCAAAGGTAAATGTAGGCCATTAGCTGCCAACAACGCAATCGCATACAAGAACCTTTCAAGCAGCAACAAAATATAAGTCTGATAATGCTTTAAACACCATTTTAGCACCAACAGCGAAAAATCAGCAAATATCAAAACGTACAAGCTTTGTTGCCATTAAAATGTATTCCTAATTCATCGGTTTCACATATCTGCCAATAAGTGGCGCATCCAACCCTAGCTAGTGAACTCCACAATGCTGCTCATCTCTATTTCAGTGTTGAACTTCTAGCCCCCCCACGCTTCCCTCTCACTTAATCTTGATACCTGTTTTTTCGACATAACCAGAAAAGCCCCCTGCATCATTACCTCTGCAGAAAACACCGATCAGATCATTTTTTTTTTTTTTAAATCTGCATAATTTCTGTTCGGTTGCATCTATCTAGGTGCCGACCAGCCTGTCTGCTTATCCGTCCAAAAAAACCACGTTGCCCGCTAATCAACTCCTCGTGCAGTAAGTCCGACTGATATGACCATTCTTACATTTACCAGTTGCTCCCAGTGGCGGTCCATTATCAACACGTTTAGTTCCTTTTCTGCTCCAGAACTCTCCCGATGAACACTCACGATTTTTTAACTGCGATTCATTTCTAATAATTTAAAATTAAGTTGATCTATGCTTAAAGATAGATTAAATCTATGTCAAAAAGTTCCACTGAAGCATCGCACCAAAGGCAGTTCCTGAATCAAAGTTCCCAACTGAAACAAACGTAAATCTCACTTTTTTCGTAAAATGCAAAGAACAAGTTTTAAAAAGTAATCTAGAAATAATTTCAATCAGATTTTAGCAGAAGCAGAAACTGTATCTCGCAAGTCTAATTAAAAGCCACAAACAACCCTACAGCTTTAAACCATCAGAAAAAAAAAACCTTTGAGAACCTTAAAACTCCAGTGGAAAGGGCTCCCAAGGAGCATCAGCTGGCGTTGCGCAGGTATCCAAATATCGCTCGAAATCTATGATTGGCCGTGAATCTTCCGGGCGACGACCAACCTCTCTCCAAGAACGAAGTGATCGAGCACATAATAGGCGCTGATTTTCAAGCCGTCTCTGCCGAGCCAGCCGAAAAGTCCTTAAAAAATTTCTTCCTAAATGCCGTTTTTTTTTTTTTTCAAGTTGTTTACAGCAGTTTTTGAGAACCAATGTTACAGAGAAACCAAATGTCAAGTACAACCACGCATGACTTTCACTCTCCGTACACTGATTATCACCATCTCCACTATAAGTGTACCTCTTTGAAGGCTGTTCAAGTATTCATTTTCATTCTAGTGGGTAACACTCACTAATATACGATATTTGTGGATTGCTGCCTAACCGAGCATGCTGTCCTACTCAGCGGATTTTACTTCCTACATTATGCCCAGACTATTTACACAAGTTAACCCCCTCCGCCCTCCCCAGTCAGCAGCATCGCGACAATCGCACTATGGAGTTTTCAAGTGGTTGGATTTGTGTAGGAGTAATTTACAACAGCGTGCGTCCGCAATAGCGGCCGAACCTTCGTAGACGTTTAGTCCAAATTTCGCTAGCCTCCATTTTCGGTTTCTGAGGCCGTCCATGCGTT